GCTCTTACCTAGATCAAGGACAAGTCCACTTTGACCATGCAATGTGCATTGGAATGCACGAAAAACTCGAAAAAAAAACGGTTCAAATTTAGAAGTCACAGGAAGATACACGAGCACAACAAGATTTACAAAAATAACCCCATCAAAGAATATGAATACTAGTGATGGGTAGACATAAAAACGCACTAATAAAACGCATTTTTAAATATTAATTCACACATACTAATACAAAGTTTGAGCGGGTAACGAAAAGACAATGATCATGCGTACATATTGAAAACGAGTAGGTTAAAGCGCAAGCGTAGATACCATAGCACACAAATTAAGAAAGCTATAGAACAACTCGGAACAGTGTTAAGTCTGACTCTCTCCTCGCATAAAATTGACCAATCACAATTGAACTATATTTTTAAACAAGCCAATAACATACCAGAGCAAGTAGTGTTTATATATGACAATTAATAATAGAAAAAATACTGAGTATGCGGTATTCACCGAACACTGAACAACGAATTTGCAGTAAATTCGTTATACATACACAGGATGTTAAAAAATACTCAGACACGTCAGTTAGTATTATAAGTTGCGCACACACATATATATGTATGTACAAGGCGTCGCAGCTAGCAGATATATAACGTCATCGATGTTTTTTTAATGGCACTACTTTTTGCGTTTGTTTTTTTGAAGTGCATACATCACCACCGTACTTCAAATATTTTTTCTTAACTGTTCGAAAGATACATCAAGTAAAGGATTATTCTTTTACCATTTTTCAATTTAAAAAAAATGAGTTATTAATTAAATTGGTTTCAAAATTAGTTTAGTCTTGTTATATGTGCTTACTACACGTTTTTATTGATTTCTTCGATAACACCAATTTAAAATTAATTGAATAAAATTTATAAAATTACAAAAATTGTGAAAGAATAATCTTTAATTTGCTATATCTTTGGAACGGCTTGGAATGAATATTTGAACTTTGGTGGTGGTGTATAATTTTACACGCCCTTCAAAAAAAGCCAGAAAAAACTAGCCTTGCTATTTAAAAAATAACATCGATGACGTCATATCTTCTAATTGTCTCCTAGTAATAGTCCCGCGTATTTTATTGATAAAAAGTGTGCAGCTTATAATACTAATCGACGTGTCTGAGAATTTTTTATAGACAATTTTTTGTTTGATATACTAAATTTCATTTTCAGGAAGGACAATTTTTCTTAATTTTTTAAAAATAGATAAATACGTTTAAAATAAAGTAAAAAATACAAATTGTATTCCAAGTTAATGACTTGCTTTGTATATTCTCAAGAATTAAAGGGCGGAACACATGATACAACACTTTCAAGATGAAAGAGGCTGAATTAACTAATTTTGTACAATTAACGTCACAATATCAAATTGACATGATTTAAGTAGGTACATCGGCTACTCAGACCTCAGACAAGTTGAAATTGAATATTAACCCAAATATTATACCTATCTACGTACAGGGTGACCCATAATATTTTTATTGCAGTTTACTGTTGATGTATTTGAATGAGATAAAATATGTACATATGTAAAATGTCATGGAATTAGAACAATTGAACACAAATAAACAAGTAAAGTATACAAAGGTAGTCAAAAATAAGTACTGGTGAAATTAAATTCCGATCAAACAGCAATTTGAACAAGTGATTAACTGTAGCTAGAATGTATTTAATGTTTTCTTTCCCATGTCATTTTGTGTAGAAAATTCAAAATGTTATTTTATTTCGGTATTGTCTTTTTTAATTGATGTTCAGTTGTTTTTCTAATAGTATATTCTAAGAAACAGGATCAAATTTGTCTATATTATGCCACATTCAAATATGTTAACAGCAAAGGAGCAATTTGAAATAAAAAGAGAACAGATCACACTGTATATAGAAGACTTGGTAGCATTGTTTTAAAATGGTTGGTAAATGAAAAAAGCGTTGCACTGTCAAGATATTTACTATCACATAATGCTTTACTAATAGAAAACTTTATTCAGTGAATATTATCTCAAATATTTTAAGAGAAAATGATTTAAAGAATTTCACATTTTGCAAAAAACACCTAGAAGAATTGAGTACCGAGGTGTTAATGTTGATAAATTTAACGATTACAAATGTTTAAAATCAAATTAGAGTATTATAACTATTATATTTTGTGAATTATTGCTATGACGTTAGTGACACACTTCTTTAAATTAGCAGATGTAGGTATGCACAATTTCAGGTCATGGATAAAATAATTTACTACGACTAGGATAAATGAAAATGAAGTTATCCTTTTTCTATATTTAGACGATGTGTTTAAAATATATTAAAAAAATATGTTTAAAGAAACGCTTTTTATGTTTGAAGTTGAGTTTTTTATTAGAATAAAATTTTATATTTCCTTTGTTTCAGAATTAATAACAATGGCTTGTTATTAGTATATAACAAAAATTAAAAACAAGACATATCTAAAAATTACAAAAATACACAATCCACGAGCTCTACTTTACGAACTTTAGTTTTATCACACTTTATAAAATCCAAAAAAATAAATTTTAATTTTAAATTAAAAATATTAAATATAACAATAAGATAATGGCGTAATAGAAGCAACAGGTGAACGATAGTGGTCAGCATACCCCTTCTAAAATCGTGTTTTTTCGTAATATATGAATAAAAATATGTAATGCAACATTTAAGGGAAATATTAACAATAATTAATGTATATATTTGAAAAGATGATTGTAAATATTTTTTAAACTTACCGTGGATTTTGTGGTCCAGAGCATGTCAATCCAACAGCACAAGATTACAAAAGGAGATGGTTAGAGGGAGACAGATTTAAGATTATAAGATTATGTTAATCTCTCTCTATCCGTCAAAGCTCACTTCCGGTTTTAGAGCCCTCTTGCGGAAAAAAATGCCTTAGATTATTTCTAGAAGTAACCAAATTCTCAATTGTTCTATAAAAAAATATATATTTAAATTAAAAAGAAAAATATTACAAATTGAAAGTACAGAATGAAATAACCCTAATTTTATGATTGATATAAAATACAACATACAACCCTTGGATAAAAAATTAATTTTCCATAATTTATGCGTACTTATTCTATTATTAAAAATGAAAGTTCTGAATTCAAAAAGTACATAAGATTTTAAAAATAAAAAATAATAGAAGGCCCCATCTAATGGCGCTCACATATGACATCAACAAGGGGGGAAGATACTCCTTAAACTTTTTGTAAAATCAGGGTTATTTGAATTATAAACGAAAAAATATATAATACAGTAATTTAAGAAAATGTTGTAAATGATTCATTTATTCATTTTAATTGATGATTATCGATATTCTCTTAACTTACCAAAGATTACTGTGCACTCTGCATATGAACCCAAACGTTAAGAGTTAAACGGTTAAAATGGGGTACGAGGGGGTTCAGTTCTCGTATTTATAAACTATATGTTAATCTCAAACCTCCCTTTTCCGGTTACCCGAAAATTGAAATTTGAACTAAAATATAACTTAAAAAAACGCAAAAACTTTTAAAATCAATTAGTTAATATTTCTCCTTTACTAAAAGTAGTTTAAAATATATAATTTATTGATATTTAAAATTCAGTTTCAAAATTATTTTAATCTCCAACCCCTACATCACATCCGGTTTACTCAAGAGACCCAACTTTTAAAAAAATATGTTAAAAAATCCCTAAAATCAATTCAAAATATTTTTTAATTAAGCTTTAATTAAAAAAATACTAAAATTAATAAACAATACAAATAACAAACAATTTTTTTTTCATTGAAAATTGCTCGGATTTTTTTTTCATCAAAAATTATGTTTTTAAATGTCAGAACTTGCAACACTCTAGCTACTAATTTTATGTAATTATTGCAGGCTTTTTAAAAATAGATTATAAGATAATGTCATAGGAACATTTATAAATCTTTTTTCCAAAATTTGAAATATCTTCTCCGTATTAGTCCATATGCATTCTCCAGAAACAGATAACACCTCAGGGAGGTCGGAGTTTAAATACCTCCTTTAATCCTTTTATCCAAACTCTCCTATCACTTGCGATTTCTATAGTTTGTTTCCTTATTTCAAATACCTACCTATAACTTTCAACTGGTACAAATATAATGTTCTAATAAGACATGTTCGGTATCTAATATCTAACCTAGAACGCGATAATTCTAGTCTTCGATACACAGGTATTATTATTGAATTACATGGGTAAGTATAATTAGAAAAAGGTACAGATAACATAATTGAAGGCTGGTGTAAGAAGGGGATAAATTAATTTTTTGAAAAATTATATTTTTGCAGATATAACTTTAAAAATGTACAAATATGGAATCTATGGTTTTAACACAATAAAAAAATATTAATATGAAAAACAAAACTTCTTTTGCCTCCTGGATAATACACATGTTGGTGCTTAGGCCCTACTAATACTTTAAAGTAAATAAATTAGTCGATATCGAATGAATCGATACGAAGTAAATTGTTTTATTTTGTGTAGACATTTTGAGAAGGCAAAACACTAGTGTTGCTGATGAAAACTAAAATGGTCATATTTTGTTCATAAAACGTAGGACCCATACATTTTTTTATTAAGGGATCATTTCTAGGCCTGCATAGAGAACTGTCACGATAGAAAAAATATAAAGTCCATGAACCAAAATGGGGTAACCCACCCTAAGATCTTATAATGGCCTGCTCATATGTGCAAGGTATATATTTTTTCATGAATCAGATAAAATCATATGCTTAAATTTTAATTTTATACCTACGACTACTTTAATTTTGCAAACTACGTAATACTGTAACTAAAAGAAATAAATATTTTGCAAATCTACGAGCAGCTCCTTTCAAGAGCTCAGGGTCTAAAGAATGTCCCCTAAAAAAAAATTACCAATTTGACTCTCATCAGCCGCCACTTCAAGACACCTATTCATTATTTTGTATTTTTTAAATGTATCTTTTTCAGTTAAATTTCACATTGCCCACTTATTTGAAGTACAAGGAAGAGTAAAAATTGCGAAAGATAGATACGAGGCCCTCCTGAAAGACAAAACGATAAGCCAGCCCTTGAAAGCAGAAATTTTTCGACAGTTAGGTTGGTTGTACCACTGCCAGGAATCGCTAGGTGAAAAAAACCAAAGAATACCCCTAGCCATACACTGTTTGCAAAGAGCAAACGAAGCCGACCAGTTTTCTGGCCAAACACTGTATCTATTAGGACGCTGTTATGCAAGTATTGGAAAAGTGCATGACGCATTCATCGCATATCGAAACTCTGTGGAAAAATCTGAGGGAAACGCCGACACCTGGTGCAGTATAGGTGTTCTCTATCAACAACAAAACCAGCCTATGGATGCTCTGCAAGCGTATATATGTGCCGTTCAACTTGATAAATGCCATTCTGCTGCTTGGGCAAATTTGGGCATATTATATGAGAATTCTTTGCAAGCTAGAGACGCTTATGCCTGTTATTTAAACTCCAGCCGTGGTTTGTCGAATAGAGGTTCAACGGAGGAAGCTACGAATTCGATTAAGTTACCAAAAATTTGCTTACAAAAAGTGGGAATGAACCCACATTTAACACAACGTATTAATTTTTTGCAAACTCACCTTGCAAACGCTCCAATGCCTAGCGTCACATCACAGTAAGTAAAATTTAACATGAAGACTGAGCTGTAACAAAATTTAGTATTTTGTGTTTACTACCTCTGACACGAAACAATGAAATTCATACTTATATTATGTACAACTATGTTTGTGTTTTTACCATTAATTTTCTTTTGTGTCAATGTTTCGTGTTTAGGTACTATATTTTTAAGAATCTATACAAATATTTTTATATAATCCAATATGTTATTTTGCTTTTTATGCCTGAGACATACTTGAGATGAATGATATTTTATACAGCTGAGACTAAAATGTGATTAAAGGAATTCTATTAATTTTGCATGGTGTGAACCTTTTTACATCCTTAGCTATAAAAAAAAAACGTGATAAGTGGAAAAGAATACGTACAAAAACTAATTTGTACATGTATGTGGGACTTCTGTTTAATTAGGGCACCCTTATTTAAGGCAATACGAAACATATATGTTAAACATATATACGCAATTTGAATTTAGTATTTCAAGAGGGAACCCTTATAGAAAATTAAAACACCCTTAAAAATATAACGATTTTGTAAATATATAAGAAATTTATTAAAGATAAATAAAGTAGTGCATTAAAAAAGTTAAAGGCTCAATAAATTTATATGTAAAAAACAATTCAAAATAAACATTAGGAATTATTTATGCAGCACTATCCTTTTCAGATAAACAGTAATATGTTCTAGTTCTTAAGAGTTACTTTTATTCATTTTTTATAGCAGCAGCAAACTCCAAATACACCATTCACAAAAAGCTTCAATATAACTAGCCCTCCTTAAATTGTAAAACAAGGTAAATAGCACTTTACGTTGCACTGTTTTAGAAGTATGAATGAAAAGCAGCGATAAAAACAAAGAGCAATATTACAGTACCTATTTCAAAACACTTAAGTTTTCCCAACTTATAATCAATTTTTGCCTACATTTATTTTTATAAAAAAATTTATAAAGTTTTTATAAAGTACCAAATGAACTAACAAAGTAAAGTTATATAAAATTTCATTTTTTCGTACTTAAATATAATTAAGAAAATAAAAATTTTTGAGGAGGAAAAATAAGTTTTCTTGAAACCTAAAGGTAAATATTGCAACAGTTTACCGGAATATATTAAAACATTTTACAAAGAAATTATTTCTATAGGAGAAGGCAGTTGCTTTCCATTGAAGAGGCTTGGAATCTGCCCATATCGGCAGAGATGTCCTCAAGACAGCAGCAAAATTCATCACAATCTACACGAAATGGTTCCTCACAAGGCTTCCAAAAAAATTACAGCGGTTCCACACCTCAAGGTCCTCCACCACCTTACCCATCTCCGAGTGGAGGAGTCGGAGTTGCAAGCAAACGCTTCAAAACTGAACCCGATCAAAAACCAGCACCTCAACCTGCATACAATCTCACTCCGCAGCAGTTACAACTGTTGAACCACTTGCAACAAAATGTAAACACATTGACACCTGCCCAACAAAATCTTATGCAACAACTACAACATCAGTACCGGTTAATGCAGCAGAATCAGCAGTTACGCAATAATCAGAGGCCTGCACTCAATACACCTGTTAGTAGATCAGCACCTACACCACCTGCTTACAATAATAATACTTCGTTTGGACAGAACGGTTCGCCACATAGCACTGCCAAAGGTTACTCACCAACGATAAGCGATAAACTCGTTCAACCCAATCCTATTGTTGGACCCAGGGACTTCATATCCTCTTCTGGACATCACGCGCCAGACTTGGATGAGAATCTAGAAGAGGACCTTAAAGATTTGCTTTCACAAAAAGATCTTGCTACCACATTGGCTGAAAATTTGTTGAAACATTTCGGATCTGATGATATTGATGTTAAAGAGGAAGCCGATTCTACTAATGCTAATGGTAAGTGACTTTGATTCTATAGATATTTTAAAACGGCGGTAAAGGGGAAATCATTGCATCATTCGTGAAATGGAAGGGTGTTTGTTGCGAATAACAAATCAAAGTTGAAGTCCCACCTACATTTTTATTGATTTAAGGTATTTCCATGCTTTAATTACGAGGGTCATTAAAATATAAACGAGAATAAATTCATGAAAAATGTCTAATTTTTCTACATATCACTTTCCTTTAAAACACATTTTTCCCACCTGATTGGAAGCTTTTTGATTCCGTCACTGTAGAAAGAAGGATGTGGTTTGGTGTGGCGTATGAGGTCGTGCATTATCGTGGAGCAAAATGACGTTCCTCATGGGTTGCAGCCCTAACCTGCTCAAGAAGTCTTCAATAGTAACCAGCATTAACTGTTCTCTGCTCGTGTAGAAAATCCATCAGAAGGATTCCTTTTGAGCCCCACAAAACTGTAGCGAGAACTTTACCCACTGACGAGCATGATTTGACTTTGACTGGAGCAGCCTCTCCTTTTTTTCGCCATTCCATGCTTGCTTGCTTACTTTTGGGAGTAAAAGTGGACCCAAGTCTCATCGCAAGTCACTATATGGTCGAGAAATGCGTCTCCTGCTTCAGTACGGTACCGTTGCAAATGCTGTTCGCAGATGTCAAGACGAACATTCTTCTGTCCCTCAAGAGAAGGCATGGCACCCAACGAGCCGACACTTTTGACGAACCAAGCTCATCACGGATTCTCCGGACACTGATCTTCACTTCACATGCGATTTCTACGACTGTCAGCCGACGCTCGTTCTCCAGTTAAGCTGGTTCTGGATCACCGATCGTGGGATTCATTTTCAACCCTCTCACGTCCTTCAGAGAAGGCTTTGTGCCAAAAAAAACACACGGGGTTGTGAAAGAGTGTTTTCAGCGAACCCCCTCCCGCGTCAAAAATTTTATGATAATCCGTTGCGCAACAAATGGGTGTACTCCTTTCTCGCTCATCTTTGCCACTACTTGGCTGACGGTCTTACGGCCGTGTCGACTGCGATTCCCCACTTGTCCTATCCCTACCAACGTTCCCTGTCCGTACCTGAGCCGATCTGTGCCCTTTTAAGATGTCCACCTCGACATTCTCGTTTATATTTGAATCACCCTCGTACTAAATATCCACTGGATCAGTCAACATTCTGGTATATTCCTGATTTAATCTAAATATCAGTGAAAAATTTTATCTGCAAAATTATAATATCATAGAGGGGTGTTACTTTGTACCGTTTTCAGCACTTTTTTTGTTAAAATTTGTTCCATACAAACTACAGAGGAATTTTTCGTTATTATGGCTACCCTTTAAATGACCAACTATATACACCCATAAGTTTAGTTTCTATCTCTTTAAAATAACTTTGTTTATTTACAGCAATCTGATTTTAAATTATTTTTTTTTGGTTGTTCAAGTACTATTTTAGAGGATTACAAGGTGTTATTATCACCAGAAAATATTTTGAACAATATCTTTTATAAAAGTAATACACTGAGAATCAATAAAAATTTTAAATATAGTAAAATAAATTGAGACTAATAATGAAATCAGTCTTCATTTTCAAGGTAAAAATAAACGGTGTAAAAAGTTAAATACAACTGTAGTCAAACTTTTATCATAATTTACTATATACCCTAGTGTTCGGTCTGTATTATTTCAGTAATATCTATTAGACTAAGAGCCGGATAGGAAAATTTTCCTAATCATTTTAAGCACTACAACCTAAAAGAAAACATTTGAGCACTACACCGTCAATTCTCTGTGGCACATGGGTTGTCAGTGGAAAATCAAATTTTCCAATTTTGGGCCTGGTAAATTATTTAAATAGAAATCGACGGCATTTCGACCCAAGACAGATATTAGAAAAATAAGACATAAAAACCTTATGCCGTACAAAAATAACGGTTCTGGATAGAATACAAAATTTTCATTTTCCAAATATTCTTACTAATGTAAAAATTATAGAAAACTGTACGGCGTGCCTGATTTTAAATAAGGATATTTATTTGAAAGTTATATTTTACTATGCTGTACGAATGCACTGGCTCTAAGAGCTCTTACCCTGATGCAAATTTTCTCATTTCAACCCCTATTCCAAAAAATTTTTGAAAAATGTATGGCACCGATTTCATAGTTTTACTATGCTCTAGTCTAAAATAATGAAAAGTATAAGTGCTGTACAAAATATTTGGCTAAAAAAAATTTATTACATAATTGTGAGTGCTCTGAAGTTAACGCCATTTTTCTTTGGGTAAAAATCATTATTTCCTGAACGGCATAAATTTCGGAAGCAAGTTATTCCACTTTATAGTCTTATACAAAAGTGCCGTACAAAATTATTGGCACCAGAAAAAAACAATTGGCCGTGAATAAAAAAAATTGTTTATCATTTTTGCAATTTGGAAAATCCATTTGACAGCTATTATAGTACTATATATTTTCAATTTTATTACTGTTTTAAATTATTCACGGGTTAATATTAACAAAATCGTGGATGCCGTCTATTTTTAATTTCAGGTTTTTCCATAATTAGTAGGATTTTCTAAAGATGTGCCGCGGACATGTCAGCTGGACATGTCCATCAGACATGTCGTGAAAAGTGGATATGTCCTGAGGACACTTTTCAAGATTGAAAAGTTATATGCGTATGCGCGGAATTATTTGTTGCATTCATAATTCCATATTTTATTATTTTTGGCATAATTAACGATTAGTAAATAGTAATCAGTTGTTCCTTAATTTAATATTTAATACACAAATAGTTTATAAATGAAATATGACGCCAAAATCAACAGTTTGATTATATTTTTCTGAATTGAGTAAAAATCATTATAAATGTAACTTTGCTCAAAAACAATTTTTAAGATTTCCAGTAGGATGGAAAAACATTTAAATAAGTGTATTGGCTATCCGGGGAAAATTAGAAACCAGTTTATAAAAAAGTCTAAAGGTAGGTAATAAGTAAAATATATCGACACATATTCATTAGAATAAAATTAATATGCATTTTGCTTTGTGTACCCTCAAGCAGTGACCTGTGAAAACATGAAGTCGCTCCTAGGTACTTTATTAGATTCAAGGTCAAAAGTACTTTTCCCGACATTAGCGGACATTTCATCGACATGTCCAATGGACATGTCCGTAACACATTTTTCCGAAAAGTGACCATCTCTAGGATTTTCCAAGGCATTTTCACTATATTATGAAATTATCTATTCCTGTAAGTCATTTACCCCATAACATTAACACCATCAAATGATAATAAAAAATAATATTGCCGTACATTTTTTATGGAACATTCATTGAATGCTATAAAAAAATATTTAAATAATTTAAAATCTCAATTTTACTATTCTCAATAATTAACAATTCCTGTACGGCATTCATTGCAGATTATGAAGGGAGTTAAATAATGATGAATTATATTGCCGTTACATTTACATGGAATATACAAATAAAATATGCATAAATTGTATAAACAATAAAATGAAAAGAGATAGTGTTTTGTAAATTCCAAGTAGGTAAGCCAATAAAAATGTTAAACTAAATTATGTTAACAATATGTTTTAGAATTTATCTTTTTCAATGCAAAAAATGTATAATAATAAAAAATAAATTTTGGCAAAACAAACAAATTGAATTGTAGATGTGCGTACACATATTAAAAACTTTTGCATGGAAAAAAATTGCAGTTATATGCAAACGTTTTTTTGGAACTTTTGGGCCTTTTTTTCCCTTTAGTGCCAGGATATTTATATGGCAATATTTTTTTTATAGTTAATTTTTAATGAATTCGAAAATGGCACAAATGCCGTACAGGAACTTTTCACTAAAATTTCCACCCCTTGAGCGGAAAATTCATTTCCCTACTGTGACCTCATGTGCCATAAAAAATGTACGTCATAATGACTGGAGGTATAAATTTTTTTATTTTAGGGTGCCCCTAATAATTTTCCTTATTCTACATAAAAGGTAGGGGTTGAGCAAGGGTTAAAAGCCCTTAGAGCCAATGCATTCATACGGCATAGTAAAATGTAACTTTCAAATAAATATCATTATTTAAAATCAGGCACGCCGTACAGTTTTCTATAATTTTTACATTAGTGAAAATATTTGGAAAATTAAAATTTTTTATTCTTCCCAGAACCGTTATTTTTGTACGGCATAAGGTTTTTATGTCTTATTTTTGTGATATCTGTCTTGGGTCGAAATGCCGTCAATTTCTATTTAATTAATTTACCCGGCCCAAAATTGGAAAGTTTAATTTTCCGCTGATAACCCATGCGCCACGGAGAATTGACGGCATAGTGCTCAAATGTTTTCTTTTAGGTTGTAGTATTTAAGTCATAGACTCTTACGGTGCCTAAAATGATTAGGAAAATTTTCCTATCCGGCTCTTAGTCTATAGTACTTACTCAATTTTTTTTTCTTAAGTGGACCCACTATTGTATCGAAAAATAAGAGAAAATATGTTTATTTTACCACTTCACACATTTTGTCTATAATAAGGGTAAGAACACATAAACACACACTGGTAGGTATACAACACCACTCTATGGTATATCAGTATTCCTTAATCTATTCTAAAAATTATTGTTTGAAAAACTTAGAAATTAAAATTTAATTTAGAAAATATATTTTTGTAATACCTAAGTTTTTCAAACATGGTGTTTCTAATTTTTGCATGAAACAAATCAATTTTGTGATTTTTGTGGATTGGCATGGATTAAATATCTAAGCAATAACATCTAAAAATTTTGTTTATTAAGATATTTTTTCATAAATACAGTTGTTTCATTAGTTCATATTTTTTGGATAAAGCAAGTTTTCAAGAAAAAATGTAATATTTTTTAAATAAATGCTGAGACAGAAACAACTGGTCTTAGTGTAGAGAAAAAAACTATCACAAAAAATTTATCACACCAATTAAAAAAGTGTAAAGTGTTAAAAGTACTATATTTCTTTAATGAAGTGCCTGTTTTAAAAAAGTATGGAAAGAACATATACAAATAAGACAAAAGTGACTGATTAGTATTTTTTCAGATAATAATACTACCACAAACACATTATCATCAGGACCATTCTCTCCTTCTAACATCGACGCAAAATCAGAAATGCCTCCGGAACCAAAAAGGAAAATCAAATCCCCCATCCAAGATAGCATACTAACAGTAAAAGCTGAACCACCATGGGACCTGGATTCTCTTCACTCAATCGAAAAAAGATCCAATATCGAATACACCATCGACATGGATGCTCAAACTGTTATTAAATTGTGCAAGTACGTATTACTACAAGAGATATAAACCTAAATACAAATACATACAATTATATGGTTTTATTCCAGGAGTGAAGTTGTTAATGGCGACATTAACGGATCAATCATATCAGATACCGCTCCGCCTCCCACGCCCCCGGATCCCCCTTTAGTCAAACTGAGTTCTCAACAGCTTTTACCCCCAACCCCTTCAGTGTACCTGGATAATAAAAAGCACGCTTTCAGTCCCCAATTGCAAGAATTTTGCCTCAAGCACCCCATCGCAGTGGTACGGGGTTTGGCCTCGGCTTTAAAACTTGACCTCGGCTTATTCTCAACGAAAACGTTAGTAGAGGCGAACCCCGATCATAGCGTGGAGGTGAGAACGCAAATACAACAACCTTCCGATGAAAACTGGGACCCCCAAACGGGGAAGAAGGTCTGGGCGTGTATATCTCATAGATCTCACACCACCATCGCCAGATATGCTCAATACCAAGCTTCTAGTTTCAAGGAAAGTCTAAGGGTAATTTGGACTAATTACAAACAACTAATTTATCGATTGAAATATGTTTTTACAGGAGGAGCGAGAGAAAGCAGCTAGTGGTTTGTCCGATTCCGATTCGAAGGATTCAACGCATTGTGGCGGAAAAAGGAGAAAAATTAACATGAACATTCCTCCGTCTTCTAACACAAAGAGTTGTAAAGAACAGAAAACCCTAAAGTAAGTTTCTGCTGTTTGCGTTTAATTGAATTATTGATTCAGTATACGATTTTAATAAGGTTCGGAACTAATGTTGACCTATCAGATGAACGTAAATGGAGGCCACAGTTGCAGGAATTGATGAAGTTACCAGCTTTTGCCAGAGTCGTGTCAGCGGCCAATATGCTGTCACACGTTGGACATGTGATCTTAGGAATGAATACTGTACAGCTTTATATGAAAGTAAGTTTTTTACATAAATTCTTATTCTGTAAATCATTTCTTTTTGCAATGTTAATTTTTAACCTGAATTCCCCCCATAATATGAAAAACCTAATTATTGTCACATTATTGAGCTTAAAATGATAGGTATTTGAAATTTTGAAAGCAACATCTAAAAAAAATATCTGCTTCGGTGATAATTTCTTTAGAAAGAACTGTATGCCAAGTCCCGAAGGGATTTCAAATTTTCGTTCAACTTTCCAATTGGAACCAATGTCTGAGAGCACCCAAATTGCCCCCCACAAGAAAGTCGCCCCAGTTTCGAAATTTGGAAAATAAAGACTTCTCTGTCAGCAGAGCATCCGACGAAGACACTGCAAAGTTGAAAAAATCACACCAGTTTCGAAATTCGGTAAATAAAAACTTCTCCGAAAAATGTGAAATTCGAACTGGTCAACTGCAATACAAAATCATGCTGCCACATCAGACTAGTAAGTCCATTACCCATTCCAGGCACCTACAATCCAAAGATGGGCAAAATTCAGAGAGGCCAATGCAATGACGCACTGCAGAAATTGAAGATTAACCTCAGTTTTGAATTTCAGAAAATAAAACAATGATTTCTGAGTTATATTTTTTAACAGTGTGTTGAACTACTGGAAATAAGAATTTTTTTCAAATTTTATTTTAAAATACAAGCCAAGCCTTGCAAAAAATTTAAGTTTGTCGAATGGCTGCTTATTTTGGCTGACTAATACCGATTATAATAGCCCCGGTTTATGATGATAATAAAATAATTGACATATTTGCTATTTATGGGCAATGTTGTCATACTGCCGATTCTACATGCTAGCTATAAGCGGAATGTTTTCCCTTACAGGTTTACCTCTTACTGCAATGATTTGTTCTGGTTCAAAGTTTTTTGTTGCAACAAGGTCTAAATCGTTTTTTGAGATGTTGACAAAAATAAATAACTTTTTAATGAATGCAATATGAGTCATTATAAAAAAATCGATTAGGACTATATAACCATGTAGACTAAATTTTGCGTAATATGGATTTGGTAGTACTATACTTTAATTTTAAAATTAAATTGGAAAGAATTCGAAATAAATTCTTAGGATTCTTATATTTCACAACATAATATAAGTAACAGTTATTTGTGAAGTACTCAGAAGATTTGGATTAATTTTTTTAGAATTTCAAACAGAGCTGGGAGTATTTTGACAAAAAAAATACAATATACTATTTTAAATATAAATTTGTTGTAACCCCAAAAATATTTTGTGTATTTCAAATACTTTAATAAAGTATTTTGTGTAAAAAATTATTTAAAATCTTCTAAAAGCAATTTAAATGCTCTTGAGTATTTAAATTGCTCGAAGTATTTAAAATACCCAAAATATCTACCAAAAACAAATACTTTTTGCCTGTTATGAGTGGCGACTGGTACAACACACTTGGATTTTGCGCATTCTACTCTGCATTCTGCAATGTGCATTGCATTATTGCTATTCTGTCTACTACCTTTTAGGTCACTATTGTCACTAGTCAAATCAATAGTCAATCATGAAAATTTAAAATTAATTTCTTTTATCATTAGCGGGCTATCCTAAAACTAATAAAAAATTACAAGTGAATTAAATATTCTGCATCGCAGTAAATCCAAATGAAACTGATTGTTTCCAGACTCATGGATAGTTTTTTTTAAATTTTTTGATCTTGAAATCGGGCTTACCTTACACATACATTATATTTTTTGCCATCTTAAGAGTTTCAGATTTAATATTTAACAAAAATATTTTAAAAACTGTTAATGAATATTTTCAATATATAGGCTGTTACAAATTCACCTCTCATTACAGGGATCTCGGAAACGGTAAGAGATACAAAGTAGCTTAAATGGGGGTAAAGTTGCATAATCAGGAGACCAACATTATGTCTCTAAAAAATCAAGGCTAACATGATGAGTTTTGGAAATCCATTTTTTTTCATTTCAGCGTTGAGGTGATATTGAAAACAGAAAAACACTTTTTGCCCTCTATTGAATGGCATAATCAATTTTTATATGTAACCTTTCGTCTCTCCAGGACCATTGTCAACTTCATTTTTTAAATAGGACTCTGGAAATGTTATCACATTTTTTCCAAATTTATCTAAAAATATTTATTTACATTTCTATGTTTATTGTTTAAGTGTCGTTAGACGCTGTGAAATCCACTTAGTTATTTAAACTATTACCATCACACGTTACAATAAAACATTATTAGAGTTTTAATCTCCATCACCTGGTCATACATAATTCGAAAAGTTGTTGCGTCAAAATTGAAACATTACAATTTCAATTTTATTATGACAAATTAATTCTTCAAAATGCATATGAACAACCAATACTCCAAATGAATATTATACTTTAAAGAATTACAGTAAATGTTCAAAAACGTTTCCGTTTTGGCAAATGTTGAAAATGAAGAGAAGCACAATATGAGCGGAATTTATTATTCTTGTAACTGCAACTGTGAAAGAGCATGTCAGATGTATTTGTATGAATATCCTGAAAAGAATTAGATCGAAATTTGTTTGAATTTTGAGCACTCGAGAAACCTAGAAATAACTGAGCACGGGATTAAAACTAATAATGTTTTATTGTAACGTGTGATGGTAATAGTTTAAATAACTAGGTGGATTTCACAGGGTCTAACAACATATAGAGTACACAATCAACAAAAATGTAAACAAAAAAAATTAGATAAATTTGGAACAACTACATTGAAGATGTACTTTTCGAGCCAAAACGCCTGAATCTGGTTTGGGCTGAGGCAGTACAATATTCGGGGTCATGAAGGTTTGAAAAAAATGTAATAAAATTTCCGAAACAAAACTTTACAGATAAAAATTGATTATGTCATTCTATAGAAGGCAAAAAGTTGCCAGGAGAAAGTATTCTTCTTTTTTCAATATCACCTCAAACGAAGCTGAAATGAGATAAAAAGGGATTTCCAAAATTTCGTTTTTTTGCAAATATTTTGAAAACTAATCATGTTAGCCTTGATTATTTAGAGGCATTATGTTGGTCCCCTGATTATGCAACTGTGGCCCCATTTAAGCTACTTCGTATCTCTTACCGTTTCCGAGATCCCTGTAGTGAGAAGCAAATTTGTAACAGTCTGTATTTACTATTCAACATACTTAAAATACTATTTTAAATACTAAGTAATTTATATTTAAAATACTTTGCCAAAGAAGTATTTTGTTTTTAAGTATTTTAAAATACTTTCGTACTAGTATTTTGTAGTTTCTATTTTAAATACATTTTGAAAGTATTTTGCCCAGCTCTGATTTCAGAAAATGCATTCACATATTCTGTTTTTTATTTAAAATCTTAAACAATTTCTACTACCTACTCTTTAAAGATCGAAATCTGATTACTCGATTCGTCAAATCAATTTTTACTGACAGTCTATGACCTTTTTTTGTAAGAATATGGCTACATACCCTTAATCAGCATTAAAAAAATTTACTGCGTGGATAAAATGGAAGATACTGAGATGATGCTTATTAAGAGCAAATAGCAAATAGACAACCTGCAATACATTTTTATAGATTTTATTATTAAATAACTGACTTTCCCTCATTTTGATGCAGATTTTCTATAAAATGGAGTTAGTTTGAAACTCAAATTACTTTTTGTTGTAAAGAAATTTGTAATTTATGATCCGACTTGTTCAAAAGCAGCAAATTACAAATTTCTTTGCAACAAAAAGTAATTTGTGTTTCAAACTAAGTTCATTTTATAGAAAATCTGCATTAGCATTAATTTATATTTAGACAAACTGTGTAATAAAATCTATAAAAATGTATTGCTAGTTGCCTATCTGCTATAGAGCCCTATGATGGTTACTGAGCCAGATATTTAATTAAAAAAATACCTAATGTAATTTTCTGATAAATTGCTTCCACAAAAAAAGTCAGAGCAGGCCATGAATTACCAACCGAATCATCATAAGGCTACTTATTACTATACAGGGTGTTCTCAAAGTTGAGTCATTTATTTTAACAGCTGGTAAAATAAAGTCAATTTACCAAAAATCGTTTATATATAAGTTGTAATTATTATAAGCAATTAAAAATTATTTTAAAAAAATTAAATTTAAAAACTTTATAATACAAACTTGATTTATTGTCATTTTTGACCACTCCGTTGTAAAAACATACATCGTTTGTTTATTACTGATACTGGGTATGCCTTGTTTTGTAGTCGCACGGTTTTGAGTACGCTTTTCGATTTAACAGTGCTAAATAATTCGTACAATAGTGCGTAATATTATTTTTGATTTGTAGGTGTTTTGTGCAATAAAAATTGCACATGTTTATGAAAATAATGAACTAGTGGACATATCAACTTATGGGGAGTGTAAACGAAATGCAGCCACAGCATGTTAACTTGTACACAGAAAGGTTTCCTGCACGAAATCATCCGGCTCCGCGGATGTTTGTAAATTTAGTTATAAGACTCCGCGACACCGGGTATTTAAAGGAACAACGAGGAGGACACGCTGGAAGACCTTCTCCACGCGAAATGGTGGAGATCGATGAAGAAATTTAGAAGTTGTCGAAAACGACCCAACAACTAGGTCCATCAACTTTTTTTTATGAGTTCTACCAGCTGTTAAAATAAATGACTTTACTTTGAGAACACCCTGTATATGAAAAAAATTCGTTTGAATTGAATATTCCAAAAAAAATTTAGAAGGATGTCCTGGTTTTAATTATTTATACTGTTAAGTTTATTTAATATTAATTAGTATACTTGAATTTTGAAAACTCTACAAAAGATTATATCCTCATTTCTTAAATTATGTATTACCAGGTCCCTGGAAGTCGGACACCGGGCCACCAGGAGAACAACAATTTCTGTTCAATAAACATCAACATTGGACCAGGCGATTGTGAATGGTTTGCAGTTCCCGATGCTTACTGGGGTGCCATCTGCGCTCTCTGCGAGAAGAACCAAATTAATTACCTCCACGGCTCATGGTGGCCAGTCTTGGAGGACCTCTACAATGCGAACATACCCGTGTATCGTTTCTTGCAGAGGCCTGGTGATCTCGTATGGGTCAATGCGGGTTGCGTCCACTGGGTGCAAGCCGTAGGATGGTGCAATAATATAGCCTGGAATGTTGGACCCCTCACAGCAAGGCAATACCAACTCGCCATTGAACGATACGAGTGGAATAAATTGCAAAGCTTTAAGTCTATCGTTCCGATGCTCCACTTGTCTTGGAATCTGGCGAGGAATATCAAGGTTTCCGACAAGAAGTTGTTTGAATTGATAAAGTAAGTTGAACAGTAAATCGACTGACGAATTGTGTGTTAACAGTAATGGTCTTTCAGAAATTGTTTGCTACGGACCCTGACAAAATGTTGTAGGATACTGGAATTCGTGAAAAACAGGGGTGTAGAAGTTAAATTCCATGGGAGGGGCAAAAATGAGGCCTCACATTACTGTGGACAGTGTGAAGTAAGTGCTTTTTTATTCATTCCAATTGAAAATTGCTTTCGGGTAAAATTAGGGTTCCCATTCAAATCTATGAAAAGCTGAGCTTTTGAGATATTTACAGAAAATTGAAGAAAGTGACAAAAAATATATAAAATGCTGTTATTTTAATCCTCACATAAAAAGTTATACCAGTTTTGAGATTAAAAGTTGAAGGTGAAAAAATCGAGATTACATAAATCGGTAGTTATATAATGTTGGGATTACACTAATTCTAACTTAAAAAGTGGGATTACTATATCCTGACAGAAAATGTGGAAGTTGCCCTATTTGCTACGTGAAAAGTCACAATTAAGCCAGTTCAAGATGAAAAATGCAGATGATGCAGTTGCTAATAATTTACCCTAAGAGGGCTCTATAGCAAATAGCCAACCAGCAATACATTTTTATAGAATATATAACATAGTTTGTCTAAATATGAATTAATGCACAAATAACAGATTTTTCTCCATTCTAACGCAGATTTTCTATAAAATGGACTTAAATTACTTTTTAGTGTAAAAAAATTTATAATTTACATTGCCGTCTTGTAATGCGGCAAATTACAAATTTCTGCACAACATAAAGTAGATTCAGTTTCAAACTAACTCCATTTTATAGAAAATCTGCATTAGAATGGAAGAAAATTTGTTATTTGTGCATTAATTCAAAAATTAAAACTGTTTTTTGATGAACACGTTAAATGATATTGATTTTGGTGAATGAGTTGGAACCCTGTTGTAGCATTTATGATGAAATCTGTAGAGGAGGGAAACAGAATGGTTTTTATTTTTTCAGATTGAAGTCTTCAATATTTTATTCATAAGAGAACAAGAAAAGAGACACGTGGTACACTGCATGGATTGTGCGCGTAAACAGTCTCCGAACCTCGAAGGCTTCGTTTGCCTAGAGGAGTATAAAATGCAGGAGTTATGCGAAGTTTACAACAACTTTGTGTTACACTCTAATATAAATTCCGCTCCAGAACAATATCGACCTGTATAGTTAATTATATGATTCAATGGCTATTAAAGTCAGCTACCACTGCCACTCGTAACGGATGTACAACTTTAATATTAACACTGCTTGTTATATAGCTTCTCATGTAAAAAAAAACCAAGCGTGATAATTTATAATAAAGGTTTTATTTTAATTGTGTACATATTACTGTCGATATGTTTTCCTCGTAAGTTGGATAGGCTATATTTTTAGCACAGGTGTCACCTGAAAATTGCTGTGATTTTTTTTATAAAGAAGACAGATATACTTTGTATAGTGCTTTCCGAGATTAATTTGAAAATATAGATAGTTGTATAGACATATCGCCATTTTTTATGGAAAATTCCACACCGTTTACTCTTTACACCTGTGCTATGATGTTACACCCAGAAACAGTGATCTCATAAATAATTTAGTTGATTGTACATACATTACTAAAAGTAATAAATATGTTTATACAATATATTTATTTTAGTAGGGAAAGTAAATGTAGCTATGTAGCAGTTTGAAAGTTATATAAGTAATTTGAATGTAGCTTCGTAGATCATTCGTCATTCAATTGTTATTAGCTGTTATACATACTACTTACTCACTGCCAAGAAATCATTTATTGTTCATTATTTTTCTATCTTATTTATTTACTTATTTATATTGATCATTGTAGAAATGAAATTATTGATTTCTGTGAAGAATACAGGGTAAATTTCATTCTGTTTCAAATATATTATGATTTATCAAAATTAAGTTGTAAAGTATTAATTTACATAGGGAACATTGTTTTTGTTTCCTGTACCATCGTTTAAAATATTTTAATAACTTTAACAACACTTACCGATGTTAATTTTATACAATTTTAAAATTTGTGAAATTCTTTATCCCAAATTTTGGGTTAAATATTGGATTTGTATAACTTTTCAAATTGTATTTTATTTTAATGATCTCTAATATTACGTTTTTATTAATTTTTCTAATTGTAGACTCCAGTAAAGTGAATACCGTCATGGTCATGGTTTTAAAATGGTTTCATTTCTGCAAACGAAATAAATTTTATTTTAAGATTTTTTTGGGTAAAATATAGGCAGAACGATCAAATTGTATTATTAAAACTGCCATTTTGTGATAAAATACTGCCCAAATAACCAAAATTATGTTCATAGACCGCACCTGGATTAATCAGTGCCTTTTCCTATTTAATCTGTCTAAAACTATATTATGAAGAAAGGTAATATTTTTTGCATTCGTGACCAAAATTGACATAGTCTACATTATGTAAATATAATAAGTATTAGTAGTTAAATTTACAGGAAGTCTAGCTCAATTTTTCTATCTAATGTAATATACTTATCTTTCATTATTCAATTACTGTTTTTTATATATATTCAAGAAAAGTCTGATTTGAAATTGTGTATTCTATAAATTTAATTCTTAATTATAGAAATAAGTTGTATTTATATTTACATAAATAAACTGAAGTTATATAATTGAGTCATCTTTATTTTAATCCTAACCTTTGATAGCAAATCTACACATGCTTATTTTAAGATTAGCAAGAGATTATATAAAAGTTGGAAAAAAAAATGTTCATTAATATGTTTATGAAATTAATTTATCGTGCGAAGGGCTGTTTTCCACAGCCTGGATTGACTTTAGATTACTTTTTGCCGGGTGTCCCCACTCCGCACAGGCATAGAATAGCTGCGGTTGAATTACCACCTCGATAAGTGTTCGTTTATTTCTTAGGCTAAGGGGGTTGCTACCCTTGAGTAAGGGATAGAGCTAAGCCTTGTGGTCCTTCCCACGTCACCGTCTCCATGATGTGTGGTTTCCACGTAAGTCGCTGATCCATCGTCACCTCGGGTATCGTGTCTGTTGGCTTCAGGAGACGGGTTCCTGGGATACATAATTAACCCTTCCCATGTGGTATCGGTTGTAAGATATGCCGCCAGGTCCACTTGATTCCCATAACGAAATAACTTAAATACTTCAATTATTACATTGGAGTTTGTATAGTACAACTTTGGTTATTGTGGCTAACTGCTTACAGTGGACTAATTTGGAATCATTTTGTTCGATAGTTCAGTTATATTGACCATGTATATCAAAAATATCAACTCAAAACCAAGCCTACTGCGATTCACACGTCATATACTGCATGTTTGTCAGACTTGCAGTGACGTCTTGTTAGACAATATAATAGATTAGTGTTATGTACACAATTCAAAAAAGGAAGCAAAACAAACTCATTTACATTCAAAATGGATAAATGTGAATTCATATTACAAAATTTCAAATTTTCTCAATTTTTTTTTATAAACGATTTGTTAGATGGCTACTAATTTTGAGATCTACAGCATACATCCCAATCTCCAGGTCAATTTTTTAAGGATTTAAGTTTAAAAATATAAATTTTAAGTTTCAATTTGTATGTCAAATTTCCAATACAGGAGAGGTTTGCATGAATATAAAAAAACCTGTAATCTTTGTCTAGTGAAGTGTGTGTGTTAAAAGATGCTTAATTAGTGTTCACATAAATCTGCTGTAATGACAGTTTTATATGTAATCTATAATCATCTCTAAACTCAAAAATTTATACTCTTAAAAGGACCCCGCACAAAATATATGGAAAATGGTCTTTTGGTAAATCGTTGAAATTTTGCAGAGGTAGGTTTCAGCTTGCTGAAAAAAAGTCTCAATGACACCAAGATCAAAAAACCACACCTAAGGCCACTGTGTGGCTTAAAATATACGAAAAAAGATATTTCGTTGAATCTTGCTAAACACAGGTCAACATTGATCCACAATGAAACACCCAAAGCGGTCTGGTCCTTACAGGGTTTTTGGGGTTGCTAATTACGATGAGTAGGTCAGTTAACCCTTTGAGTCATATATGATTCTACAGCATATCTGAATTTTTTTTACTCGGGGGTTTTCAGGGTCGTTGATCGCGAATATGAAGTTAGATTTTCAGTTTCCAAATCCAAAATGGCGGATCCAATATAGCCGACGGTCAATCGTGCATTCTTCTACTCAATGTTTTGTCTGATTTTTTTTAGATAGGGGTTTTCAGGGTCGTTGATCGCGAATATGAATTTAGATTTTTATAGTTTCCAAATCCAAGATGGCGGATCCAATATGGCCGACGGTTACACGGTGACCTCGGAAACATGTTTGTGAATTTTTCCAGATTTTCTCGACGGTCAGTTCTCTACTTGACCTTCAAAATGACCTTGGCATGACCTTAAATGACCCCTGGGAGTCGCTGCGGGGTAAAACGAACTACGGTTTCGTGATTAGGGACCCCGGAAAAATATGAATGAATATTTCCAGATTATTTCTATGGTTATTTCTCTGCTAGACATGACAATCCCCTCCTCAGGCAAGCCGTTGACTAGTTACCCGATGTGACCGACAAACACAAAAGACCTAGACACCAACTTTTTGACTCTGGGCGAAGCAAGAAGAGCGCCAGAAGAAAGGGCCCTAGCCGGCTGGGCCCAGCCAGGACAAAAGGAGGTCCCACAAAGCGCCTACACCGGCCGCATTTGCTATCGGGGCGACGAATGGGGCCCAACTACAAAGGCTGTCCAGGCCTACACGAGATGAGGCAGGATAAAGAGGGATAATCCCCCTCGATCCCAAAACATTGAGGCCAATTTCTATCCATGGAATAATGGCGGCGGCGTATGGTTATTTCTCTACTTGACCTTCAAATGACCTTGAAACTGATATGATGGAGCTTAACTGGCCTATTCATCGTAATCAGCAATCCCAAAAACCGTATAAGGACCAGATCGCTTTGGGTGTTTCATTGTGGATCAAATGTTGATCTTTGTTTAGCAAGATTCAACCAAATACCTTTTTTCGTATATTTCAAGCCGCACAGTGGCCTTAGGTGAGGTTAATTTCAACGCCCTGTACATCATAAATGGTGGCTTTCTGCGCCTTTGTTCATAGAGCAAAGTGATGTTAATTTTTGTTGTTTAGTAGTTTTCCGAAATTTGTCTATTAAAATCTGGACCACCCTGTATTTTGTGTGGGGTCCTTTAAATTCTTAAAAACTGATCTGAAGATGGATAAGCTCTCAAATTAGTAACATAGATAATCGTAAAAGTGAGTGATATTTTCAGTAAAGTAATATTTACGTATCAGACGAAAAAATGTATATTTTCTGTAATTAACCGTCACAACTTTTAAGTAAATTAGAGAATGGGTTTTGATAACGAAAAGAGCTTTTCGAAGTATAAGCTGTGTAATGTGCTTTGTCATTGTAAAATTCTGGTTAGACAAAGCTATATTTATTAAATCAACCCTTTTGGTGCAAAGGATTTTTTTCTTTTTAGAGAGATCTACCCAGTTAGCTACCCATTCAAATTAAAAACAGTAACTGAAAAAAAGGTATTTTAAAACATCTTTATCTCATTTAAAGTTTGATCCTACTTGCAAAATTTGAAACTAATAAGTATTACATTTACTGCTATTATTTTGTTGATGCCACAATTTTCATTTTCAATTACTTTTATGCCACAAGGAACACAGAAGTATGAGAATTTGTATTCACAGATCTTTATATTAGTCGGAAGAATTTTAGTAAATAAATATATTAATTTTAAAGTATATTTCGAAAAATGTTAACATGTATTGTAACTGTAACAGGTATAAATATGTAGAATTGTGATAAATATGTTTTTATTCAAAAATATATTAGTATTGCTAAGGTCCTGAGATATAACGTCACAGAACATTGAGAAATTTTGCAAATTCAATAAATTTTTACATTTATGTATTTTTTTCTTTAAATAGCTGTTAATAAAATATGTACACAATAGTGTGTGAAAAATATATTGTATTGTTAGTTTGAAGTGGCAAAGCAAGTACAACTGAAGTACAAAGGTCCATAGAGTTATATAATGTACTCATTAAACATGCTTAGCGATATAAACTATACAGTTTGTGTAACACTAACTAGTATACGAAGACGGATAGGTGGGACGAATGTATTGCGTAAACATTTTACATTATGAAATATTTACGTAAATATCTTCGGTATTGATGGAAATTAAAAGAAAATAATTGTGGTCAATTTCTTGCTTTAAACAAACTGAGGGCAGACGAATAATCTGCCCATCAGCGCCATTATTTACGACAAACAAATAAATGGCACCCTGCCTGTAACAGTACAGTATAATAACTCTATGGTCTTGCCTATAGCATGCCAATGACATGAAATGGCACTAAAGGTCCAACAAATGATGCAACATTTAATTTCCGCTCCAAAATTGAGTAATCTCCCAGCTTTCATATTGAATTGTTATTTTCACCTCACTAGATCTACGGGTTGTGCTAAAAAACAAAAAAATATACTTTCACAATTTATTGAAAATTTACAAATTTAAATTACAACAAATAATAAAATTGCTATGTATTTACAAAAATTTTTCAAGAGTAACAACCGAAAAGTAATAACGTGAAAGAAAAACTTTCCAACAGTAACAGTTGTGACTAGAACGTAACTATGGAAGTAAATAGGACCTACGTGGAGCAGTCAAATTCGAAATAGCTGGTGGTGAAACGTCAATTGGAGGTGGTGGTTTTTGCTTGGGTTTCCTCAACAGAGTTCCAATTTCGGTCAGGACTAAGTGAGACACTCTGATAAGTGCTACGTGGGCAGAGTATTGCAAAATTAATGCACCAAATCCTTTGTACAAACCGCACACGCCCTCCGTAGCTATACACGTCTCATAGCAGTCGATAGCGCCAGCATAACTTGTTAGAATGGACAAAACTGACTTCCCATTATCCAAATTATCCACAATTGTTCGAGTGCCCTAAAAAAAAGTTATACTTGTAACTGCAAACAAATCTATCTGTGATCTCACCTGTAGATGAAGGCGGTGGACAATAGTTTCACATGGAAAGAAAGCAACATCACTAGAAATAGTTGCTATCAATGAAGCTGTTAACTCGAGATCTTGCATCACTGTTGAATTATTCAAATCCTTCGGTAATGCCCCATTTGCTTCATGTCTATGTTTATACCTTACATGTAATAGTCTTAAGGTAGCCCCTCTGACCATCATCGAAAATAAATATTTTGCTAAGCCCAATGTAACTGTCGGGACAATCAGTGCCCATATAGGAAGCATCCTTCCTTTCGCTGGTACACCCCAATTTAAAAGGCGCATAAATCCTTCTCGGAAAACATCAAGAATTCCTGGTTTTTCACTTGCAATTTCACTTTGAACAGTTTCCACAAAAGACGCTGAATAAAAAGGAGTCACTATCGCTAAACTCACGCTAAAAACAAGATAATATAAATTTTAAAATTACCTGGATCAATTATTTACCATTTTAGAAGAGTATGTTGAAAAAACTGTTTCAAGCTACTATGCCAGCCAACGTCCCTGAAAAAAGGAAACTTTATTAATTATCAATATATTCATTAAAGAAGGCCGATTCATACTTTGGCCATGGTGTCACTTTGGAAATTAAGTCTTCTACCCCTAAGGACATCCCTCGCACTAGTAATACTGATCCTAAACCCTTCCATAATGTCGTCAATCCCTGATGTTGATGGAGATGGCATACTGCAGGTAGAAGTGTGAAGGGCAGCAAATGGTATCTTTTTGAAGTATGATGAACTTGACACTGCCTACGCAGAACCAAAAATGGATGACTAAGTAAATTCTCGGCTACTAAACTAACAAATGCTACTCCTGAACCAATGTATCTCTTTAAAGTTAAATCTACAAAAAATAACTTGTACATATCAAAAGATAGATGAAATGGTGTGTTTGTACCTTCATGACTATGGTGTACGTTAGTATAATAAATTAGTTGTTCACGATTTTCCAAGTACTCGTCATGTATGGGCAACCTTCTTGTGAGATCTGGTACATCGTAATAATTACCTTCTTTAGTTCTTATATTATGATAAGGGTCAATATCATTTGGTCTTGACATGGTTATCTTCTAACCTATATCACATTTAAAATCCCATTTTAATACAATCGGAATATTCTAAGAACTTTTATTTTTTCCATGTAATTATTGAGTTATTAGTTATATGTGGTAAAGTAGTTATTAATTTATTTTAACGATATATTTGGATAATACAAAACTGTCAAACAACCTTGACTGTCTGTGACAACTGACAGACATATCATACAACAGAACACATAACCACAGCATAACGACATATCATCACAGATCACCGATTTACAGATTTATAGTTCAAGGTGGTATAAAAATTATCCTAACCAGTCTAAGAACCCACGCCCATGAACTGCAAGTCATTCCAGACAAGCAGTTTGCCTTCCGACCAATCACTCCACTGAACTCCAAATCCTTCGCTTTACCGAGCGTTGTTCCTAGCGGGCAGCCGACCAGAGCATCAGTTCCTAGCGGGCAGCCGACCAGAGCACACGTGTTTTGTGAAAGTGTAGTGCAAGGAGCAATTTCTACCTGCCTTTATTAAGGCTACCTGGAAAGAATCCCTTTCTTTCCTTTTAATCACCGACCTAATCCCCGGCTTAAGCATAGACGCCGTCGGCATCTTTGTTACAGCACCTGTGCCGGGGTTATGCCCAGGTAAGTTTTTACTTATTTATCAGTTATTTGCATTACTTTAGAATACATTTCTTTAAAATTGCGACCCCCGACAAACAATATACCAGACAGACAAATACACCAAAAGACACGTACGCCCCCGTGAGGGGGCATCCCCACACGACTAACACTTACACACCTTCCC